CAAAGTTGTGTGTGAACCGCAGTAGTGAGCGGAGTTGGGAGTCTTGCGTCCTCACAAGAGATTGATTTCATCTTTGGGTGACTTCTCAGGAAGTGAGTGGGTATAATAATTTGCACTTCTCTACTAGTCTTTATTTCACGTGAATTCACCTGTCAGAGCAGGGAGATGCCTCCTCATGTCACTGTCTTTTGTAGTCTCGGGAAAGGGGTTAGTCACCGTGTGACTGTGCTGCTTCCAGTTCTGGAACTGACTGGTCCAGGCCTGGCCTGTCTGCCTGGTGCTCTGTTGCTTGGTGTAGATTTTTCTTTACTGAAAAGCTGTTTGCCTTATTTCAGTGTTTCTGAGATAGACTGTGGTGCAAAACGAGCTCTAACTTAATGATAGTGACTCATTCTGCATTATTTTGGGGGCCCTCCATGCAGCGTATTTACATTCTTAAGAATGTGTCCCTAGGGCAGCACTGAGTGTGCTGCAGCCCCCCTGTTAAGAGCACAAGTTTTGACAATGCAAGCACCCCAAGATTCATATGAAGCTTTATAAGACATGCTAGACCATCTGCAAGGAAGCTTGCTTTGTGTCATGATCTTTTACAGCTACTGTAATTTAACATGTTTTAATTCATTTCTGCTAAGTGAAGCAATTGTTTGAGGCTACCCTGGTCATTTCCTTTGTCTGCCATGCTTCCTTTCTTCTGTTTCTCCTGCAGGCCTCTGGCTGTACCTGGCAGGAAGCGATCTTCCCTGCCTAACTCTGATTGGCTCTCCTAATTTTGGATATCGATCAGTTCATCGTGACTTGGAAGCTCAGGTTGCGATAGTGACAGAAAATAAAGCTTTGCAGCAGCAGCTGCATCAGGTAGGTGGATGAATACAGGGAGATAACATGGATGTTGTGCTTTTCGGTCACATAGGGAATGCTGATGACGCAGTTGCAATAAAAACCTCCAGCTACAATAATTCAGAACCTTCTTCAGCGTAGGAAGTCTCAAGGAGTTGTCAGTTAAGTGACTATTGATGAGATGCCTGCTGCAAGTGCCTGTTTCTGGGAAATGGAGGCCATAACGGGAAAGAACATGTGTCCCCAGTGAACTCGAGTATCAGGAGTGCTCAGGCATTCTGAGAGATGGAGCATTCAGGGAGGATCTGCTGGCTCTCCTCTGCTCGCTGATCACAAAATGTATTCCTGAGCCTTATCCCCAATCTTTGGGCATTGCCAAGGTAGCACCATGCTGTAGGATGATGAAGTCAGGCCCTTTGAATTGCTGATCTTGGACTTCTGGAGGACTTTGCTTCTCCGGCATTTGGGAAATCATTTGCAGGAATATAAATGCCATTCAGTTAGCTTTTGGGTGGCTGCCCACAGGCTATGGATGTGAACAAAGGCAAGGGATCTTAGTGTAGTTTCTGCAATAAGAGGATTTCTGGGCTGGTTGGATTGCCAATGAAGTTATATGCCTAATATAATAATAAGACATTATATAATCTTGACACAAATGTTTTTCAGGGATTTAATGTTCAGTGTCCCAGTTTTTGGTTTTGGGTTTTTTTTTTTGTTGTTTTTGTTAGGCAGCTTGGACCGCTCAGCACTTTTACTGCTTCTCTAAATCCTGTCTGGTTCTCCAGCTGTCTTAACTCTGAATCTTCTGCTCGAACTGACAGTGTCCCAAGTAATTTCTCATGTAGTGCTCTGATACAAAGCAAATTGGTTTGGTGCCTCTGCGTGTGACTTAGGGATCTCAAAAATGTATTCTATTATGCCAAGTCCTGGCATAAGTAGGCACAGTTGTCTTCAAGATCAATGGGAATTGCCCTATTGCATCAGGGCTCTTCCACAGCATGAGTCAGAGTATATCTAATCAAAAACAATTCTATTACTGGAAGAGTTGCTTCAATATTTCAATTCATGTCTTGCCTCTGCTTGTTTCTAATGGAAAGGGAGAATTGATGAAAATATGACAAAGGAATTTTCTCAAACAGTGCTGCAGTGATCTAATTTAAAGGGCTTTAAACCATTCCCATTTGCTGGAAGCTGATTTTGAGATTCGCTGTTTGTTTACTGTTCTGCAATCTTTGTTTAGAAGACTTAATACATTACTGGTAAGCTGCCATGAAATCACTTTGCCTATGTAACATTCAGTTCCGTTTTAAAAATATGTGATGACATTTGGGAAGAAATTTGAGTGGTCTGGGTATCTTCGGATGTTCCACTGAATGAACTGAGCTTGTCTCGCTTCCAGTGATCAGATGACCTCAGTGCATCAGATGACCGTGGCGCAGGATCTTCATAGCAGGGCTGACTGTAGCTCTTGGAGCATTTTGGATTTCTGAAATTAGACTGATTTGGCACACAGATGTCTTCCTTCTGTTGTTGTTTCATCTTTTTGGTGTTACTTTCTAAGGCTTGGTTCCTGCTTCCCTGTTCCATGCTGAATTTAAACAGTGCAGAGTATTTTCTGTTGTTTGTGACAGCTTAGCTAATGAAAAAAAGATTATGAACAGACTTACAGTAGATGGTCTGCTCTTTGTTTGCCTGTAAATCTAGAAACCTAACTGGCTTTGATAAGAAAACCGCTTCTACCTTTGATGAAACAGCTGCTTTCATGTGCAATGTGAGCATGTATTATCATCATGATGGTACATTTCCTCCTTCAGCAGTATTGTGTACACACTGGGGAAGCCTAAGTGTTTCTGGTAATTTAGTTGAAATCATGACTACATATTCATTTGAAAACACGGCGCTTGAGCTGTGACTAGAAAGAGCTGCATAAGCCAATCTCCTGAGATTATGGTAAGGTTTCCTTTTCTGGCAATTACAGTGAGGGATTTAGGATTTTTCTGAAACTGAAGCTTAGCTCTCCTGCAACTGTGTGGCATAAAAAGGCAAAACCTTCTACCTTTTGCTCTTCGTAGAGTTTAAATTGCTAATTCTTGAGGTTGGGTTACTTGGCGCACTGATAGTCATCAAAAGGTGGAGTGCTGTGGCAGGCGGCTGTGAAGGAGACGTCCTGCGCTAGCTCCTTCGTGGTTCAGTTGCTCCGAGTTGTGCTCCATAAAATGACACTCTTATGTTCAGGCTTGTGGGAGAAATGATGTATCCTTTTGGCAGGATCCATGGCCAATTTCATCTGAGAATTTGCTTTTCTTGAAGACTGTTACATAGTTTAACGCTTAGGATTTACTTTTCTTTCCCTGTATAGGAGCAGGAGCAGCTTTACCTCTGCTCAGGTGTAGTCTCATCATCAACATTTGAGCAGCCAAATCGTTATGTGAAACTGTGGGTGAAGCTGGTAACACCTCTGATCAAGAATTTCTTTTGAAAGAAGAAAAGTTGCTGCTTTGGGTGAGTTTTCAGCCATTCTTATGGGGAATTTATATTGCACTGACTGCAATTAATAAGCGCAGTACTCTCTATCATGTGGAGGAAATCACCATGTGATTCTGGAAACATAGATGACGTGGGGAAAGAACAGGCATCTTTTCTGGGGTACTCTCCACTGCCTGGAATCATTGCTCAAGTTCTATATTGGGTTTTATCTACTAGAATTTCTGTAAGGGGCAATGAAAGAGAATGGTATTTCCTATGCGGAGAAATAAAACTTCCATTTCTGAAATGTCCCTTTCAGAGTTTTGTGGAGAAGGACTGTGTTTATTTTATCTTGACCAGCTAATAGAAAACATTGTTGGAATATTTAAAATGTTTTGTCATCTTTTTATCTGATCAGTGCTTTGCTTTAACCTTGTAGATGTTAAGAGGGGCAGTTGTTCTTGCTTTGCTGCTTTGTACAGCGTCCTGGATTTGCCTGGCTGTTCAGCTGTCCAGTAAATGGAGCCTCTCAGAGCTTCATGGAATATTTTTTTTTTTTTTTCTGTGCTGTGCACATAGTCCATGCAGTTGGCACCTAAGTGTGTGCCCTTGATTCTGAGTGTTCACACGTCCATCTCTGGGGTTGTGTATCTGGCTCCTTCATGTTAATATGTGTTATAATGTCTTTCATGAATTGTGCAGATGGCATCAGAGGACTGTTAGTGCCAATATGATTTTTGGACGTTACTTGCTGAAAGTGGGAAGCTCAAACTGTAACACGTGTCCTGCAAAGAAGTTGGCTGGGAATCCTGATAAAAATGTTAGAGCGCAGGCTTGGGCTGCCCTGTGAGTTTCACTGGTGGAGCATGTGCAGTGTGTTCTGATCTTTTATTGCCAGCAAAAGGGATTTCTGGCACCTGAAGAGGCTGTAAAGTTTAATGGTAATTTATTCTAAATGCTGCTACTTTATGAAGAAACAAGCAGCTCTACTTGCCTCTACTTGCTTTTCTTACCACTAGTTATGAGGGCAGTTTTATGCAACCGTATTTTAGAAGTGATTGTTCAGACATTTTGCGGGGTAGGATTTTGGTGAATTATTTTATGCTATAAAGGGAGAGGCATTGGCTTCCGTATGGTGGCCGGAGCAGATCTAATCACCCTAATACGTTTTACTGCTGATAGAAATTTTCTTGTGAAAGAAAGGGTAGAGTAGATTCTACAACCCAGAAATGGAAAGAAACATACTTCAGAGACTGATCTGTTTGCAGCTGGATTTTCTTTGGGTTGTACAGGTTGTGCTGGTGAACTGGGACAAATCTGCGCATTTCTTCTTCTGTCTGGTCTAGACAGATACATGCTTCCATGCAGGAGTATGTCGTGCACATAGCTTGATGAATTTTTGCTCACAGTTAGCACTGAGCGATCAAACAAATAGCTGTGGAAAGACAGAGAGCTATGAGAAGGAAAGGAATCTGGATAGTTGCATGCAATTGTTCTGTTTGGCTTCCTTCGGTGGTCTGACTCTCAACCACCAGCTTATCAGAAACCATCAGTTGAAAACCAGTGTCCGTCATGAGAAACTCCATGTATTTTAAAAGCAGTCTCCACATGACAGCAGTTCTAGCCATGTTTTTATTGATATTTTGTTCAAATAGTTCTGGTACAATCAAACTTGGCCTAAGTTACACTTTGAGTTTTTTTGCAGGTAAAAGCATTTGCTGTTTCCGTAGTCAAAGTTTAGATCTGTAAGAGCAGAGCAACAGCAGCAAGGATCCACTTAGCAGCTTTTTCTTTTGTCTTTAGGTTAAAGGTCCAGACGTAGGTGGGACCTCGCATCCGTGTCTTATAGAGAGGACATTCATAGACGTTCTTGGTGTCCATGCGCTCCACAGGGATGGCTCTGATGAAGATGACTGGCATCATGGGCATCAGCTCCTTCAGTCGAGCGTCTGCGATCACACCAGAAGGGATGTCCCATCGAGCGCCTGCAATATTATGAAATTGTCAGGGTACCAGCTACCCGGTGGCTTTTTCCCTTCGAAGGGGCTGTTTTCATAACTACTGATGGGTGGGAGGGAGTTGCTTTAGCAGCACAGTCACAGATGGAGTGTGAAGTTTGGGTAGCCATGGCTTAGTAGTTGTTAGGGCTAACATGTTATCATCTCACTGTGACTCATGAATGCATTTTGCCTTACTGTGGTGGGATATCTAAATAAATTCTGTCCCCGCTCATCCCTTCAGCATGGGTTTGCATGGAAGTTGCATAGCTGAAGGTAGAACTTGGCCGTGGTGGGAACTATGATAGCTGTCCTGTGTGGTCTGTGCTCTTGTTTAAGTGGACCCCTTTAGTGCTCTGCTGATGTTGCCATCTCATTCCCCCTCATTTGTTAACGGTAATTATTTTAGGTTCTGAGTTTCCTGATTTGTCTTAATTACACCTCAGATAAGACTGTAATATATTTCTTCACTAGAACCATGTAGCTTCAGACAACCCAGTCCTCAGGTTCATAATATACAGTCTGAATTTCCAAAAACCAGTTTCTGGTTTGTGAAACCGCTTGTAAACTGGATGGGTGCTGCCCTCAGCTGGCCTCTCTGACACCAGTGTGGAATAAAGGCTCTGCTGCTCGGAGCTTTTGCAAAAGCTGTACAAATTCAAATAAGCCAGTGAGTACTAACACCTGATCTGTTTGCAAGAATTTTTAAGGCTGAACTGCACTTTCTCCGTGTCTGAAACATCTCATAAAAGATGCAGTCTTTCACCTTCCATGAATAATCCATGCACATAGGAGCCTTCTCTGGGTGGAGCTGTTATATCCTCACGGTTTTTCTTGGTCACTTCCACTGAAAGACACATCTTGTCCAGTGGCCATTCGTTTTTTCTGGCCGTGGACTGCATGATAGCAGTGAGGAAGGACTGGGGATTGAAAAATCCTGCCAACCACACTGTTGCAGGCAGCACAAAGTCCGTTGTCCAGACTTCCAGTTCCTGGAAAATAAAAACAGCAAAGTACTTCAGAGTGAAGCATGGCCTTTGAGCAGCAGAATACTGCTTTGCGATATGATGTGACAAAGAGCTGATGCTTCCCTGTGCCTAACACAGAAGCTTCAGGTAATCTTACAGGTGGGGAGACTAGGATGGAGGTGACCTGTGATGAATAAATAGCAGATTCCACTGCAGCAATGAAACCTAAACCGTTAATTTGGATTGCAGTAAATACTGCCTTTTTTTTTTTTTTAACAAAGCTACACTTTAAATAAATGGTTTTATTAAGTATTTTTTTCTTCTGAGATATATAAAGTTATGATGGGGTTAGCTAATGTTCTGTTGAAACAGTGATATACTCTAATGGTGAACCCTTTTCAAATTTCTGGTCTCATTTTTGGGGTAACAGGCCATTCCAGGTATTTCAAACTGCTTAAATTAATATTGAAAAATAAACCAGTTAACCACTGTACACTGATGGAGGTGATTCCTGGTCTTCTGTGGTATCTGCTTGCTCCCTAAGTTTTAACTTTCACAAGAAATCTGCTCACCCTAATCCGAAGGAGCAGGTCTGCATACCAGGCTCCTAAGCTAAGGAGAGAGGGATAGGCATAACGTGTCCAGGATTCAGGAACGTTGTCATAGAAGAGAGCATTTGCCATCTCTTCCATATCTGATGTAATCGTTAGCTCTCCCTTTAAAAAAGAGAAAAGTCTGGGCAGTGTTATCTGAAGAAAGCAAGACTGATGGAAGTATTTGGTCTCAAACTCATCATGAAGCGGGAGGCTGGTATTGTCCGGCCGTACCCAACATGGTGGGATGTGCACGAGCAAGGGTAGCCAAGTGCTTTGTACAAGACAAGGTTCGAAATGAGCAACAGCCATTTGCAAATCAGGGGAAATTATTTGGTAGGGAGAGATGCTTTCTAGGCAGCTACCTAATGCATACCTTTAGTCCCAAGTCTAATTCTTTCAAAGAGCGCCTGATTTCTTGGGTCAAGATGTTAATTCTTTCACATTCCTGGAAGGCAACTACAACATAGGGGGTCTTGTCCACCGCTTTCGCCATGATCTCTGCCATATTGAATGGCTCTGGCAGCCTTTCGATAATCTCATCTAGGACTGACTTCACCTGGAAAGAATATGCCATAAAACTGCTCTTATCTAAGGAAATATGCTGTAAGCTAACAGTTAATTAACTTTCTTAGTAAGATTTTTCTGCCTTTGTGTTTTGCTGTGCTTCCTCCTCTGTTACTAGTACTCTATTCTTTTACTAACTGCTCTTGGATCTTAAAAAGCTGCAGCTCTTTTTCAGTAGCAAGGAATGTAAGAACTGAAGCTACAGAGGCTGTGAAATTCAAGTGTAAAATTCAACAGGTCCAGAGGAAGACTCTTTAAATCTGTATTTTTAGTAGCTGCCATCATGAATGGAAATTACTAAGCCTGCTCCAGCTGCTGAGGATGCAGCATGTGAGCCACATTTTGCCACTGGCGCATCTCGACCCCATCAACGAGTAACCTTTCTGAACACTGCTGACTTTTGTAACTGTGCCGTGCGTTCAGATGGAGCGAACAGAAAGAAACTGCTGGGGCAGCATTTCAGCCTCTTCTTTCTACGCTTTGGGTTTCTCAGAGGTGCTGGAGGAGAGCAGCTAACAGTCTTGTGATCTGTGTGACTAGCTGCCTGCCTGGGATCTAGACTGATGCAAGAGCAGGGAAGAGGGGAGACAGCGGCAGGTGGGACGGGGACAACGACAGTGCTTTGTCTGCCCTGGGCTGCGGTAGCAGTGCTGCCGTCTCAGCAGCTGTGGGGTGCGGAAGCATTTGCTGGCGTTCAGCAATGCCAAAGACTGGCAGAGTTACCGAAATGCAAAGGAGAACCTGGTCACAAAGAAACCAAGTGCAAATACACTTAAATAAAAACTTGACAGGGGTGTCCAGCTGAACAGAGACTGTAGCGTTTCTTCTGAGCTCTGTGCTAGCAACTCCCCCTTCTCCAGGCTGACAGCTTGTAGCATTAGGTAATGGGCTAGAATTGCATTTCTACTATGTTGTACTGATAAAAATCTGTCCATTGTGCGTGGGCCCTTATCTGTCCCCTGCACCCAGTCCCCTCCTGGCCTCTGAATTGTCTTTGTGTAGTGTAAAACTACTTGCCTTTTCCTCTCGGGAGACAACTGAGCCTCCTCCAGCATCTGATTCTTTGGGCTGCATTTCTAACACTGTCCGAAAAAGCCTGTCTGAAGTGACAGTCAGGAAGCCAATTTCTGCATTGGGGTGAAGGCCGTACAAGTAGGGACTCTCCGGCGGCAGGTTGTCGTCGATGTACTCGTGGTAACCCTAAGCACAGGGCCGGCACTGATGTTAGTTTAGCAGATATGTACAAAAGAGCGTGAGTTTTGCTTCAGCCTTGAAAATACGTCATTGCTTTTTGGCGTCGGTGTTTCACAGCACAGCTAGCTGGCCTTGCTTATTCAAGATGTTTTTTTACTCATGTCTTACCTAAGTTTTTCCTTTACCACCCCAGCCACAGGAATTATTTTTGCAGTCATTCTGCATGTTTCCATGGGATTGAAACTTTTTTTTTCCTCTATGTTCCTGCTTGGCTAGCATGAGGGGACTCTGACTAGTGTGCATTTATCCAGAGCAGTGGTTTTCCATGGCAAATCGCAACGTTATTCTTTCTTACCTTGTAATCCAAGCTGGGAGGGATCAAAAACCCTGGAGCTAAGTACACTTCCCTGTCCAGCATCTCCATACGGATGTATTCGCTCAGGTAAGTCCGACACAGCCGGCGGTCCCAGTCGTCTGTGATGTGCCCCCCGTACATGATTTCACCAAAGAGGTACCGGAGATCATCCCATGGCACCTGCAAGGAGAGGCTCACTGTGGTGTTTCTGTGTGGCTCCCGAGAAGTCCCCTGCAGCCGGGGGAAGCTGCACGTGACTGTAGAGCTGTGGGGCCATGGAGCAACGGCTCCTGGGTCGGCCTGTCCAGCGTCCAGGGAAGTCACAGATGCTGGACTGCAGAGGCTCAGTGACAGAGCGAAGGGGAGCAAGACAGGGGGACCTCGTCTCGGGTGTCTCCTGTGTTCGCCCACAAATTTCACCTTGTCCTGGTACAGACACAGCTGTCCATACTTTGAACCCCTGTCATCCTGTCTTTATTCAGGTCAACGTTGATGATGTCTGTAAGGCCAGGGGAAAGCAGAACTTTCCTAAGGGTGAGACCTCAGTCCTACTCATTGCACCTTCATTCTTGGGTCGGGCTTTGCCTTTTAGGTGGAAAGTAATTAAAAAAACCCAACACAACCCAACAAAGCACCGAGGTGTGAGCCAGAGCTGGCACTCATCCCAGCCTGGTGCTAAACGCCCACTTTCCATCCAGCTCAGTCACGCTGAGCGCTCTGCACCTTCACCCGCCAGAGCGTGCAGGCAGCTCCCTGGGGAAGAGGGGAAGAGCTACTGGCGATGCTGTGTTTCCTCAAAAGGCGGCATTTGTGCAGCTAACTAACGAATTTTTAAAAAAAGGCTCGTTGTAATAGCGTCTGTTGTGCAGAGGTATGGTCACTTTGTAAGTCCCTTACCTTGGGGTTAGCCTCCAGGTAGTTGTACAGGACGTTAATCGATATGGTCAGGTCACCGTTGTTGAAGGGGTAAGATCTGTTCCAGCCCTGAGCGCCGAACTTGCGCCGCTCCGCCACTACCGCATGGAAGTAACAGAGCGCAAACAAGACACATTTGAACTCGATTTCTTTGCTGCACATCTCTAACGTGTCCTGCAGTGGAATAAAAATCAGAGTGGGTTTGCAAGTGTATTAGTGAATATCGCTATCAGCTCTACATCTGCTGAAGAAAATGAACAGGTTGTGGCAAAGGAGAACTGAAGGTTGTTTATTAAAAAAAAAAGCATAAAAATGTCTTTTTAAAGAGCTGTTAGTTGGTTAATTCTTGCACTCATTTTTTTTTTTTTTAAATAGGAATACACACACACACATATGTACCCCCTGCTGACGGTCGAGGCTTGTTTGGGGCACCAAGCCGCAGCAGCTCAACATTCAGCCTTGAGAAAGGCACCAGTAATTCAGCACCCTCCCTCTTTTGGGAGCCCTTGGGCAGCTCTGGTTATCCCTAAATGGGGGCTCTGGGCACCCCGGGGAGGACGTGCCTGGGGATGGGCCGGCTCCTGGCGCAGTGTCCGTGCCTGCAGTGACGCCCCCAAAGATGCTCAGCCCATGACACCCAAGCCCCAGGGAGAGGGGGGAGCTGGATACGCTGACCCAAAGTGGTTGAAAGGAACCGGCTGTGCACAGCCGGACCACCACGCTGGGGCGAGCAGCGCGGCACGGCGAGGGTACCTGGGTGAAGAGGTCGAGGGCTTTGTGCAGGTTGGCGTACATGCCCGTCGGCGGCTCGTTGGTGATTTTGATGGCGTTTTCCAGCAGTCCCTGCGGGATGATGTGTGCCTCGGGGCTGAGGGCTGGCTCGGCACTCATGAACACCCGGTAGTCAGCGTGACTGCCCAGGCTGTACTGCTCCACCATCTTCTCCAGCGTGCGCAGCCACCGGGCCACCAGGTGGATGTTCTGCAACAGGAACCCCTCCTGTACTGCTGGGGCTGAAGTGCAACCTTGGGAATCACTTGTTCCCCCCACATTCCTCCTGTGGCTCCACAGAGCGCAGATGCAGCACAACACAGCACGGCTTGGGCTGGGCATGCCCGACTAACCCGGGCAGTGTCACTGCCGTCGCGTGAGGTACGCCACGAAAAACCCTGCGACCCATTGCTGAGCCACCGTCCTGCTGCGCCCCACGGTGCGCCCCGGTGCGCCCTGCCCACCTGCAGGATGACCCAGTGCCCCTGTGTGGCCGCCAGCTCCAGGGCCCGTTCTGCCACGGCCTCCTGGCCCTGCCCCAGCGACACGTTGTGGATCCTCCCGTTGTCGATGGTGAAGTCCAGCTTTCTGCCTGGGGAGGGGAGGAAACCGCTGTGGCCTTTTTTGTTTGTATTAGTATGGAGACGGGGCTGCGCAGCTCCGGCCGTTTGCTGGCCAAACGAGCAGCTGCACGCAGCCATCGTGCCGGCCGAGGAGAGGGCAGGGCCTCACCCAGGGCCTCCACGTCTTTCAGGGGGTCGACGCCAGGGGAGAGAATGAAGAACAAGGGCGTAGAGGGGCTGCTCTCCTTGTACGCCTTGAAGAGCTCTACGCTCCTTCCTTCCACAAACTTGCTCCCCATCTTCTCTTCCACAAAGTTCCTATGGAAAAATAAACCATCATGTGAGTTAGGAACACACGCGGTCGCTGGGCGCAGCTGGTGTGGCGACACCGCAGGGCTCGTGCTGGGAGAGCACCGTGCACGTGCCCCGCGCGGGCACTGGTGCACCTGATGGCGTAGGTCATCCTGTCTGGCCGCATGCACCGCAGCATGCACAGCTTCTGCAGGGCCGACTTGTTCTTCCACTCCTTGGGGAACACCTCCTTCTCCGGCACCTCGGACTCCACAAACTTTTTCCATCGCTTTGCAGAGCCCTCGATGTCACTGTCCAAGTTCCTGAACTCTTCCATTTCTGAGAGCACCTTCAGATCCCACAGAGAAGGGCTAAATCACTCCTGGGCTCTGCTTGCCCTCAGGGAACCCCCCGGCTGGGGGGGTCTCCATGGAGCTGTGCGCACTTGGGGACGGTGCTGTGCCACAGCCAGGCCCCAAAGGGTCCTGCAGCCCAGCTCCACCGGCCCAGGCAGGCTGCCAGATCCGCCCTCCCCGGGGCACAGCTGCGCTGGGGGTCCCAAAGGCATCCCTGGGGTGTCAAGGATGCCTGGTGAAACGGGGATGCTGTGCACAGGCCGTCGGGGCATCGCTCAGGCACCCCCGAGCTCAGGGGTGTGGAGCAGGGCCCATGGGGGACACTGACGGTTCAAAAGTGCTGAGACACAACCTCGCCGGCTG